ATATTATGTATATTATTATATATTATATATATATTTCTATATCTCTCTATTACATATATTGTTTCCCTGTTTCTCACCCTCTACCAGTTCCCACCCTCCTCCCACACTGTCTCTGGTATCCACAGTTGCTTTCCATTCCTTCCCCCACACACATTTTGTTGATTCACAAAGTATCTTTTTTTAAAAAATTTATTTAACTTTCTTTCTTCCTATTTGAATAGAGTGAGAGAAGGGAGAAGAGAAGTGAGAAGGCAAGCCACCAGGTCTGGGACTCAAACCATGGTTAGCCCTGTGGGAGTCCAGCGCCCGTAACTACCAAGCCACATGCCAGCCCCTCACAAAGTATCTTGATCTAAATACTTTCAATAGAAAGCTCAGCTGATACATACACAGCTAGGCCTTTGTCTGTTTGTTAAGAGCTTACTTTATTCACCACAGAGACTGTGAGAGTCTGAGAGAGCACAGGGACCCATCCCACTACTGCCCCCTCCCGGCCCCAGCCCTCCAGCTCCTCAGGACCTCAGGCACACAAGCACATGCCTTCCATGTTTTCGAGTGGACCAGGGGGACCCAAACTGGGGTCTGCCATGTGGCTTCCAACACTGCAGCTATTGACTGTGCCATCCGGCCAGGCCAGGACTTGGTCCACTTTGCTCACAGCTTTAGCTCTGGGTTACACCATAGTGTCTGGCTCAGTAAACATGCACTAAAGGGTGAATAAATGAACAAATGAACAGTATCCAATTCACAGGCTTTGGCTCTGTCCACAGTCCCCTTACCCTGCTCACAGCGTGAGTAGGCCGGCCTCCCCCTCCTAGCCTCCTGTGGGAAGCTCTAAATTATTTCCTCAAATGCAGAGAGGCCTCCGGGGCCTTCTGTGTGAAAGGGATAAGCAAGGGGGGGGGTTGCAGGAGTCCTGCATTAGAAAGCCACTGTTTTACCATCGTGGAGCAAAGATCTCCACTCTCTAGGACAAGAACTTTCACTTTTTTTTTTTTTTTTTTTTTTTTTTGAGAGGTTTTTTGTTTGTTTGTTTGTTTGTTTGTTTGTTTTTTGCTATAGGGCACGTGTGCTTGCCAGAGAGATGGAGAGAGACAGACAGAAAACGAGAACAGAGAACAGAAAGCGAGAAATCACCCCCCGGGGGTATGACCATGCTGAAATCCCTTCTCCTCCATTCTCCCCTCGGGATCTTGGGCACGCACGCACACACACCCAGCGTGAGTTTAAGCCACTGGATCCGGGACTAGAGCCGTGGTTGACTACATGGGAGTCAGCAACATAGTCATTACACTAACTGCTGATCCTGACAAGAACTTTCAACTCTCTCAAGAAGGGTCTTCCAAGGGCCAGGGCCTTTGCACTGTTCCTTCTGCTTGGCATGATCTTTGCTTGATCTATCTGAGGCTGGCTCCTTTTCATCATTTAACTCTTTTCTCAAATGTCACTTTCTCAGAGAAGCCCCACACAACCACTCCTCCAAAGCTAATTTTTTTAAAAATGAAAAAAAAAAATTGGGGGTGAGAGCAGGTGGCATGGTAGTTAAGGCACTGGACTCCCACGTGGCCAACCATAATCTGAGTCCCCGACCTGGTGGCGTAAAAATCACACCAGGCACATGTGTATGTATGCCCAAGATCCTAAGAGGAAAATGGAAGAGAAGGGACTGTGGGGTGGCTGCCCCACCAGGGAGTGATTTCTCACTTTCCCTCTCACTGTCTCTGTCTCTCTCTGGTGAGAGCACACACCCTATATCAAAAATCTAAAATATATTTTTCAATTTCTTAGATTCAGGAGGAGGTGAGTACCTTTGTGGGGTCTGGTTTCTTTCTCCAGTCTTCCAGCTCATGGGATCCTAGGCCCTTTGGGGATGCCCAGTGTGTTCCAGCTGACTGCACAGGGATTTGAACCACAATCACCATGTGGGGTCTGGCTTCTCATTCTTGAGAGTATTTTTTTTTCTTGGCGCTAGGACGTGTGGGCTCGCCAGAAAGACAGAGAGACAGAAAGTGAGAAATCACCCCTCCAGGGGGGATGGCCATGGCACGATCCTTTCTCCTCCATTCTCCTCTTGGGATCTTGAGCACGCATGCACATGTGCCCAGCGTGAGTTTAAGCCACCGGGTCTGGAACTCAAACCGTGATCGACTACATGGGAGTCCAGCGATCTGGCTTCTCTTGAGCAGCACAGTACCACTGTACCGCAGAGCCAGTCCTTAGTGGATTTTCATACCCACTCCGGTACCTTTCTTTACCCTCGCCCCCTTTTCTAAATAATTATTTTATTTAACTTTATTTATTTATTTATTGAGAGGTTTTTGCTATAGGGCGTGCGCACTCGCCAGAAAGACAGAGACAGAGAGACAGAAAACGAGAAATCACCCCCCAGGGGGGATGGTCACGCCGCAATCCCTTCTCCTCCATTCTCCTCCTCTCAGGATCTTGGGCACGCACCCACACGCGCCAGGCATGAGTTTAAGCCACTGGCTCCGGGACTCGAACTGCGGTCAACATATGGGAGTCCAGCGACATAGCCGTTGTACTAACTGCTGGTTCCTTTATTTTTAATTTTGACAAGAGAGGGACGGAACGAGAGAGAGAGAGAGAAACAAAGTGAGAAAGCAAGTCACCAGGTCCAGGACTCGAACTGCAGTTGGCCATGTGGGAGTCCAATGCCCTTAACTGCCACGCCACCTGTCGGCCCTATACCCTCCCTTTATTTACTCCATCGCTCTCACTATACACGTTTTCTGCTTTTGCTGTTTCGTTTATCTGCTTATTTACTCTCTGTCTCTGCAACCTTTATGCAAGCTCTATGTAAAGACTGGGCTGTGGTCCCCTGCTGTATCTCCAGTGCCTTGTTTATAGGAGGTGCTCAATAGATAGCTGTTGAATTCATCGTCCATCTTTCTCCTTCCAGAGACTGAAGCTCAAAGGCGAGATGAGATGGAAGATACTGGAAATTAGTGTCAGAACCTGTAGTAGAACAAGCTCTGTGTAAAGACTGGGCTGTGGTCCCTGCTGTATCTCCAGTGCCTTGTTTATAGGAGGTGCTCAATAAATAGCTGTTGAATTCATCGCCCGTCTTTCCCCTTCCAGAGACCGAAGCTCAAAGGCGAGATGGAAGATGCTGGAAATTAGTGACAGAAGCTGTAGTAGAAAGCAATGAGGTCAAATGGAACTCCAGACCAGGAGACTGTGACCTTGGATGAGAATGGGATGAGACCTATTTCTTCAGGCCTGTTTTCTCCTCTTTTAAGATGGAGTGAGGCAGCCATGACCAGTATCCAAAAGGCCAGGTACTAAGGGTAAGACCCCTTCCGCTGCCAGAAATCTTATATTTGGATCAGCATCCACTCCTCACCCCCCGCGAGGCTAAAGCCGCAGAAGTAGAAAACTACATCACCCATGGTGCTCTGGGTGGCGCCTGCGCACAGCAGCCGGCCCGCGCGCCGCGGGTGCCCTCTAGTGGCTTCTGCGCGCGGCGCTCCTCTCCGATCCCCGAGGGGCGGGGGGCCGCTGCGCAGGCAGTCTGGGCGCGCGGCTGCAGCAGCGGAGCCCGAGCCGGGAGACAGAGGCGCCGCCGGATCGCAGCCCGCGGGGCTCGCCGCAGCCATGGGCAACCGTGGCATGGAGGATCTCATCCCGCTGGTCAACCGGCTGCAGGACGCCTTCTCTGCCATCGGCCAGAACGCGGACCTCGACCTGCCGCAGATCGCCGTGGTGGGCGGCCAGAGCGCCGGCAAGAGCTCGGTGCTCGAGAATTTCGTAGGCAGGTAGGAGCGGCGCGACTCCGAGGGCCCACCCCCACCTGCGGGCCCCCCGGGCCTCCGCCCCGGGCCCCGACGGCGCCGCGACCTGGCCGCCCGTGGCGCGGCACCCGGTGACGGCGCGCCCCCCATCCGCAGCAGGAGGGAGGCGGCCCTCCTCCCACCAAGAGAGCTTCTGGGGGCGGCAGCGCCCCCGGCCAGTCTGCAGACGTCTGCAAGCCCCGGGCCATGAATCACGCCCCCTCCTTTAAGGAAGCCAGCGCTCTGCCGGGAGACCCTAGCAAAGCGTTGCCCCCCGCACCCGACACGGGCACAGAGGAGGCCCTTATTACCCAGCGCCTCCCTTAGGCTCCAGGAGTCCCTCAAGCCGGCAGCACCCCAGGGCAGTGCTCCCCACCCCCAGCCTAGGCGCTATGGAGGGCAATCCTTACCCCCTTAGGAATTCCTGGGCAACGGCAGGGGGCAGTCCCCCACCCCGGCCCATGGAACTGGACAGAGCCCCGTAGGCACCGGGTTACCAGGCACAGCCTCCCCCCTCGCGCGCACACCTCTGCGGCT